ACGGTGGCGCTTCCACGATCTGCGGTGAAAATCACGCGAGTTGGGTGGCTCTGTAACACAATCACATTTCTGAGTAATACTTTCCCAGAACGATTTGTCATTTTAAAAAAAGAAGTCCAAGAATATTTCCCACCCGCCTATGAACGTTTCTGAGAGTAACAGAGTTGTTTGGTGACGTGCGGCATGCAGGCCAGGCGATATCGGACCCAGAGGATTTGGACTGCAGCGCCAATTTGTTAAGGAACCATGTACTCGTTCTCTGCAATATTGAATGTTTTTGGATTTATTTTGTTGCTGCAGTGCTGATTCTTCTTCTTCTTCTTGCGTACGGCTGATAGTTGTTGCTCTGCATCTACTAATTTCATATTCAGGTGGTCAAGCCAGACAACCGCTTCAGGATAAGCAGAATGTATCGCTGTGATGTCTCCGTCGTATTTGTCGATGGGACATTGCGTCGTTACACGTTGTACGTTGTATATTATTTTATTTTACTTTTATTAATTTTAATGTTTTACCTACGTGACTTTACCGAAAAAAACCTAAGAATATGAATCCTTGCAGTCACGAAAGCTTCAAATCTAGAGTTGTACGGTCTGTTCTGGATGTCCACAGTCGCACACTACTGGAGAGTTTTTAATTTCCATTTGCGTATCGGGTAATCCACATCTACTGCCATGGTTTGTGCAGTGGATGCGATTTAGGGTGGACCGTGAGACTCAGTGGAAGATCAAAACCCGAGGGATCTTCTTCTGCGTTCGTTGCTGTACTCACGCACCGCCACGGATCTCGCCTCGAAAATAGTTGGGAAACTGGCTCAACGGGATCATCGGTGTAAAAAAACAATTAATCTTCTTGGTTCTTTCGGTAAAGTCACGTAGAAGGAAAGTAATAAAATAATAAAAATAAAACATAATAAAATAATTCTCATGACGTTTCGGCCACAACGCAAGCAGCCGTCCTGGTCTGTTGGGGAGACAGCGTCAGACGCTGTCTCCCCGACAGACCTAGTCTTCACCTGAGGACGGCTGCTTGCGTTGTGGCCGAAACGTCGTGAGAATAATTTTATTATGTTTTATTTTTATTATTTTATTATTTCCACTTCTACGTGACTTTACCGAAAGAACCAAGAAGATGAATCCCTGCAGTCACGAAAGCTTTAAATCAAAATAAAACAATTAATGTCAAACTCAATTCATGAGCAACTCGAGTTGACAAACAAGATATGGAAACGCACCACCAGGACAGCCGCACGCGTCGTATCTACTACACGGCTCACGTAAACTGGGCAGCAGAGGTCTAAGTGCATCAGCGTTCGCTCAATGTACGTTCTGCCGCACAAAAATAGCAACAAGGATGGGATTCGTGTGTAGAAGAGCACTCAAGGCCGCAAGGACATGAGTTTAAATCCTGATCGGTCATCTCAGCACTGCACCACCACCAAAGACAAAGATCCCCCCGTCTAGCCTTAACAGACTGTTGGGGCAAGTGCTGTCAGCGAGCACCTGTGAAGTCCAGTACGGCGGCATACGATGGGGTGGGTGACCAGCACCACGCCCGACCACCTATGTCTCTCCAGCAGCGATGTATACATTTGAGGCTGAGTCGACCTAGGTGGGGAGGGGGCCCAGGACCCGTTCAGATAATCGTCACTGATGTTTGCCGTGAGCGCGAATCGAACTCTGGTCGCCGGGTTTGCAGCTCAGCGCAGCGCGCTGACCGCTACACCACCGCTCCCCACCACCATCACCATCCCTCCGGGGCTCGGTCAATCGAGTGCCCACATATGGCGAGGCTGCACCAATTTGTGGTGCGGGATCGACAGTTGTCTGTCGTCGTGCTAAATTAAGGGGAAAACAGGCCTAAGCCACAGGAATTTGTAATTTCCCTTGCTGGCCCAGGAATGCCAACTGAGTTCAGAAGTGCCCTGTGCTCAACAACAACAACAACAAAAACGGACACACTTCTAACTTTTATAACGAATCGGCCGACCGATTGTGACCATTTTCAATACAAATTTGACAATTGACGCTTTAACTTTCGTGGCGGGCGCTTTGTGTGTGCGGTGATTTATTTTTTGCTGACTTCTTGCCAGGTACCCTTCGCAAAAAGAGCTTTTTTACCTGCTTAAATACAGGTGAAATAGGTAAATAAATATCGGTGGGGGGAGGGGGGCAGTAAAATCGGGTGGAAAGAAATCCGCGGAAGCCCAAAATGGAACTCCGGATCACATCTCGGTGAAGCAATTGTGCAGCACACGTGGAGGCGGGCATTGCAGTGTCGAGAATGGGAGCAGCGTCAACTGAATTAATAGCAGCTCCGTGTCCTTTCTAATTATACCGCCAATGCCAAAAGGCGGCTAAATATAGCGATTCTGCACGGCAGAAGCGATTCGCTTTGTCACCCTAAATAGCATTCAGACTGTGCAAGGATGAATCGCGTCACAAGCCTGGTCACCTACAAGCCTCGCCTGGTTCGTGTCCTATACGAGCCCCACTCGTTGCGCTGACAAAAAAAAATACATTTGGTCCGATGTTTTTTGTTGTTTTGGTTATACCATAAACGCGCCGGTGTCTTCATATCACCAACATTGGGGCGAATCGGATAACCAAGCGGCCGTTTGATCAACTCGTCATCTGGCCCCATGTAATGCGGTGTGTGTGTGTATCTCTGTCAGTCAACACATGGCACGCTGGGTCTGTCCCGTGACGTCTTGCCAGCGGGCGTCGGACGCTTCAAGTGGCCTTAAAAGTGCACCTAGCCTGGCGATTGTGTTGTTGTTTTGTAGAGCTTATTTCTCACCGTATGAAGCCAACAAAACATTCAACTACTTTTATTCGAATGACATTATGGGATCTTTAACGTCCACCTCGGAAGCAGACAGAGTATTTAATGTTTAATACGCCCACCGTATTAACCAGGGTGACCTTACGGATTCAAACTTATGCAGAAAGTGGCAAACGTGCTACTGCTGTTGGGACACATCATTGCCTACGTGTGGGTGATAAAGGGTACACGTGTGGGCTACAGTGTGTACACGTGTGGGATACAGTGTGTACACGTGTGGAATACAGTGTGTACACGTGTGGAATACAATGGCAGGCTGGGTGGGATTGATCTCTCCGAACCAGTCCCCGTTTCACGTGTTCAGACGCTACGTAAGTGCACACTCACATCACGCAGCAGGAGGCAGTCAGACCTTATGCTCTTGATAATAACGAGATGAACACTGGAGCGCGCGCTGACAGTGACTTATAAACAGCAAAATGTGCAAATTGCGACCATGAGATCGTTCCACCCATTATGCATTGCATCTCACGTAACATCTGCGCATTGCGTTTGTGATTTAAAAACATTTTAACCAGATAAGGCCACACGGAGCTATATAGATTTTTTTAGAAGCCATCTGACCACAAATAATAAACCACCTTTATAAAGGTGTCAGTTTTGTACCAGTTTAAAAGGGTAAAAACCTACTACTATATTTTGCCACTGGTAAAAGAGATCTCATAGCACAAATAATAACTCAACGAAGTGGCCCCCATCATGTAGACACTCATAGCAGGCAAATGATCTAAATGCATGTTCATTCCAAATGTGGAGGGGAAAACTCGGAGAAGAATCCACGCGACCACAGGGAGAGAGACGCAAACTTCAATCACACAAACGTCAGGGTGGGGGGAATCGAACCCACAACTTCCGACATACACAGGCGAGGGTGGTGACATCTCACCACCGCGGCACCGTTGTGTGCGTTGCTCATAACGTGATGGCAATGTAGGGTGACATGCACGGCACGATGTAAGGAGCGAGCAATCCGATGGTCACAGTCGTGCGCATTGCCATCTGTAGGTCCTGTGCGCGTGTGTGGACCATTCGTATTGTCACGTTTCCAGCCCGCACACACTTTTCTGTCTTGCCCATTATTCACTGGAAGTATCCGAATTTGTCGAAGGTTAATTGATAACAAGCGGGTGGCAAGTGCTATCAGATTAATGTCGCGAGATGAAGCGTATATATTCAGAACGATCATCAGTGGAGCAGTGTACCCCCGCTGTTCGTGTCCCAGTGGTCCCAACATCATTATGGTTTACCCAGGAATAGACGCATTATCTTGCTGTCGCGGTTGTCAAAATTAGCTTCTATCGGTCTTCTTTGTTTTCATCCCATGGCCAATGATTTTTATGTTGGTGATGTACAGCACCTCGAGTATCCTTGCAGAAACACGCCCTAAGAACGTCATTAATTATTCATATATATGGCATAACTACTACGAAGGGTGCCGCGGTGGTGAAGACGTTAACTCCATCGCCTGTCATTCAGGTCGCGGGTTCAATCCCAACCCTGACGCCTGTATATTTGGAGTTTGCATGTTCTCCCCGTGGTCGCGTGAATTATTCTCCGGGTCCTCCGGGATTTCCCGTCCATATTTAGAAACGTGCGTTTAGAGTATTTGGCTGCTATACATTTCCACACAAGCCACTTTGTTGAGCTATCAATCGTGGCCAGGTCGCTTCTGAAAAGTAGCTATACAGCTCAGTGGGCCTTACCTCGTCAAATAACAATATCATTTTTTTATTTCAACAATTAACAGTTACACTAAAATGTAGATTCCTATGGTTGGAAATACTTAATATGTTGCTAAACAAATAGGATTTTTGCGTGCTGTCATTAGTGACCGAGCTAAGACCACGGACACTCTACGGCCCCAGTTTAATCACGAGCAGATGAAATCCAATACGTGCACCCAGGACCTCAGTAGCAACGCTCAGTGCTCTCACACCAATATCAGTGCTTAGGAGTCACCCAGTCATCTCGGTTCGACAGCGTGACGCTACCCATGAGTAAACCCGTTAAGATGATTCAATACACACCGCTCCAGCTCGCCATGACGAAATACTGTTCCAGAAGATGAAACCCAACTGATAAAGTAGTCCTGTCAAAGTCTCAAACTTCAGCACTCTTTACATCGCATTTGCATGTCCAAAAGCACAATGACAGCATTTTAATGTAAATAAATGTAAAATTAGACTTTATTTAAAAAAAAAGAACTTTGCACAGGCAAGAAAATAACAATAGTTCAGGTCAGATTATTTTCGATCTCCCATCAGGTAACATCTGACTTTGGGATCGGTAAATGGAAATGCGCATAACCAACACCGTAATTTAGTTCCTCCGGGAAAATACGTGACCCCATCAGCAGCCTCGCGAACATCCGCGTTCAACAGAACTCGGGCGATATGTGAGCTCTCCAAAACACACCTCCTTGTCATGCAAAATCCATGCCATAATATACCTGTCAAAATGAGACATTGGTATATATATATGCACATAACAAAGACACAAAAACCCAGGGCTGAAGTTCAGCCGGGTCTGTTCGGCTTGCAGACCTCGAAGATATTTCTGCACCCATCACACCACATCAAATGGACCCCCTCCCCCCCCCGCTGTGACAACTAGTCATGTGCCTCTCCAGTCTACCAGCGACCAACGATCATAGTACTGCCTGTGTTTGAAAGGAGCGGATGCATAGACTGCATGCACAAGGTATATTCAGTCAGAGGCGGGAACTGCAAGCTCAAGTCGGCTCCAAGTTGTGACCGGAAAAGGGGTGGCTGGGTCAGTGCGAGCAACGTTTACACCGGGGATCTTGTTCCGAACGGCCACTTTATGAGAAGGCCAGCAGAGTGGAGAGAACTTAAATGCAGATTAAATTGGTCCCAACAAACACTGATAGGAACCCAAAGCAGATTCCAATATTACTTGTGGTCAGGACCTCCGATATGGACAGACCTTTATTTGAGTAGCAAACGTTGGGTGTCACTTATACAAGAATCAAGCCAACCTTTCCATCAGGCAATGCTAACAGTCGGCGTACTCAGGGTAGAAATAATACTAGACTTGAATATTGCAATGTCGAATTTCCAGCACTGGCTGTGAATCAGTAACAAGAGATTAGCACGGCCCAGTGCTCATTTGGGTATTGAAACTCGCCGACTTATCAATGCGAAAAAGATAAAGTTCACTCCGAACAGGCTAGGCCAGACTGGTGCAGTCAGAACTAATGTCCTGATATAAACGCAGCTGCAGACACGTCATGGAAATGGGATCAGGGAAAACAGCAGCAGGGTGGAGGCAATGTGATGGTATGGGGGTTTGGCAGTAGGCATTCATTGATTAAAGCAAATTCTTACACTCACAACAAAAATGCCATTACATCGTACGTATAACAGATTTTTCAAAATGTATGCACATTAATTGCAAACTTCAGGCTTCAGGCCAGGGATGGGACTGACCGGTCGCACTGCTGGGCGCAGACCGAGGCGCTCATGAGAAAAAGGGGTGATGACGTCATTGTCAAAGCGACGTCATGTGCCTTGCAATGACGTCGTTACGCACGGCGGCGTCTCGCAAACTTACAGCATGTGTCAGGTGTGGTCTGCTTCTGCCTTAAGCTAAGCGCATTAATGAGACCAAACGAAAGAACAAAACATATGACACAAGACAGCAAAGATGGTAAGATACAATCGCAAACCAAAAACGATTAATCGATCGTGACCCCACACCCACCCCCCTCCACACCCCCAGATGGTGACGATGCACTGAATTGCCCGAGGAAGGAAAGAGGGGGTGAACGATAACCGCTACGAGCCGACTGAGCGAGGATACTCGCGTTGGTCGGCTAAGATGTTGCGAGGTTAGAGAGTGATTGGAAGTGCTCGTAGTTTGCGCGCAGCAGGAACTCGAAGGCGGGATCCGAACGCAGCATGCCTAGCGAGCTGGAGCCCAGCAGCGCCTCCGGCGCCGGCATCACCAGCCGCAGGTCCAGCCCTGCGTGCCACACCGAGAACACAGGAGCCGTCAGTTACATTCAAAACCGCGCTGCCGTCGCGAAATGAAGACACTTCCATCTTATTCATATTCTTAGGTTGTTTCCGGTAAAGTCACGTAGGTAAAACATTTTAATTAATAAAAGTAAAATAAAATAAAAATCACGACGTTTCAGAGGCAACACAAGCCTCCGTCCTTCAGGTGGAACCGTCACAGCACGATAGCTGTATCAAGTAAGAGAAATTCCAAGAAAACATTCCTGGTTGAGGGTGGGAGGAGCCAAGGTAGGCCCTAGATATTATTATTGTGAGGTTCGGTGCGGCTGAAGCACGCTGTTAGGAATGAGCCTTTGTTGTGTAGACTGGTTGAAAAGAGTTGTTAAGGTGAGGCTGATGTAAAGGTGCGTGTAAATGGGACTGAGTCTTTTGTTATGTAGAGGTGGTGAGGCTGAAACACTTCCATCTGTAGATCTAGTGGCAACGTGCAATAGCAACCACCGAACGACAAATCCTTTAGAGCTGCGACATGCTGCCGTGCCTTCTACTGGTGGCAGTGTGCCAACCTCTGCCCTCTAACCCGACACCCCCCCACCCCCGACCTCCTCACCATCTTGCAGGAGGAGCTCCATGAGTCTGGCGAACACGCTGTCATTTGCCGCACGCACGGGGTCGTCAGTCCGCAACATGGCAGCCCAGCTACGACACACACACAGGACAAACATTTCCTTATTCGGCCTTACAAATGTCAAGCGCCTAATAAGGTTGCACAGTAAGGAACGTAATGATTCATTGATTAAAATCCTATTCCCACCATTGGAACCTCATTATCATATTTTTCTACTGGCAAATGAGGTTCCAATGGTGTAAATGCTTACCCCGAGCTCTCATACTCTGATGGTGCATTGTCTTTGAGTTGTGCGCCTTTTGGCGTCATCTGGTCCAACACCATGTGAGACTAGGCTCTAAGGAAAGCTGTCTCGGGTGTGGACCAATCAACTTCAAGGACAGTGCAAACATTATCAGAGTTATGTTTTTGTTTGCATTACGACTGCAGGTATTGTGGTCTATGCAAACATGACGCCTTGTATAAAAGGTGTCAGTTGTGTTGCCAGATAAAAAGGGTAAAAAACCAATTATTAAAATCCTATTATTCTGATGCTGATGATCAGGGCTTAATTTTAGCCAGAGCTGTTTGGGGCAGAGCTCTGAAAAATATATTTTTCCAGTCAGTGGTGGGAAGGAGGGGGGGGAACAGCAGGAGATTTCCAGGGGGGTGCCCCAGAAAAAAAATCCGATGAGCAATGGAGCCCTGCTCGTGCAACACACAATCACGCACAACAGAATAAATCATAACTAATGGAAATTGTATTTGCCTTTAGGCTAATGGCACGAAACAAAACAGAGCACACTAAACGGACATTGGAAACGACACAAATAAAGATCTGTAACCAGATCCACACTCGACCACCTTTGTCACCCCTGCACCGATGTGTACACAGCGTAGAAGGCAGATTGCAATTTAAGATTTTATTTATTTCAGCATTAAGGGCCCAATGAGCTGTTAGGCTCTATTTCATGGGCATCCTGCAACTCATTTAAATACACTAATTTAAGGCCGAGTGAACCTAGGGGAGGCCCATGATCAATTCAGATATCACTCCTCACTTATAGTCAGCTATGGCCGGTAAATTAAGCCACTGCTCCTCACATGGCTATTGACCCCTTGTATAGCCTATAAAGACTGTTAGGGCAATTGCTGTTAGCGAGCACCTATTAAGGCTGGCATGGCACACGACACACACACTACAGGGACACGTGGCCAGTCAGTGACGCAGGGTACCCCCCTTTCCTTGATATGGGCAGCAGAAGGCCATCCGGGAATGCGGTGTTGGGTATTTTTATACGGAAGAGGGTGGGGGGGAGAGGGTGGTGGACAGGAAAGGGTTGGGCACTGCCAGTCAGCAATGCTTGCGCTCAGCACTTCCTCGGGAGGTCCCAAGAGCACACATGCCTGACCGAATTCTCTTGAAATGAAGGCCATGACACAGAAAGGGTCGACGCGTTCAAGCGGCCTTTGATTGGCCCTATCAATTAAAATGAATGTTACGTACAATTGTTGAGCCTGTGTGAAGCTTTCAATGCACTGATGCGTAGATGACGGTAGCCTTCTCGCGGTGGGCTCCACCTGTCGAGTGTTTGCTACCTTGAACGCAACTAATAGCCTCGCAGTTAGGCTAAATGGGCGTCATTAATTCAAATCTAGATGTGATCAGTAGAGCTAAGTGCAAGTAAAAAAAGGCTCTTATAAGGGCCGTAAACCAATCGGATGAGCTCTTTGAGTGAACCAGCTAAACGATGAAGGACTCACAGTGTTGGTGTACGGTGCTTTTTCTGCAATATTTTGCAGTCTTTTCTTGGATTTTCTGTTTGCACATAGTCACTATAAGATGTATTCTTGTTCATGTTTTTGTGTGTTGCGGTTGCACCCGATTCAAGAGCCGAATGGCTCACAGGGCTATACCTAATAACTGAACTTGAACTAAAGACCTAAATGTGAATTCTGAAGGGAAAACAACATTGACATTGTCACCTTGCAGGAGATGCAAGCCATACCCAAGAATATAATGCACAGATCGTTGCTAATGATTGAATTTGCAACTTTGTGCGTTTCTTTAGCCAGTGTCATGTTTTCAGTTAATTTTATCTGTAGCAGATTCATTTAATCAATTCCAGCAGGTAAAGGTGGTAACAAGTAAATGTTCTAATAAATGTTCTTAAGACGAGAATAAAATCACTTTAGAAGGTGATCGAACGTGAAAGCCCCAAGGGCGGAGATTGAGAGGAAGGCCAAGAGAGAGAGAGGTGGTTCAAAGTGGTGAACTAGGATGTAAAAGGAATGTGGAGTGGACGTAGAGATGAGGGCTCAGGACAGGAACGAGTGGAGAAAGCGAACCAGGTAGTAGTTAGTCATAGTAAGACTCCATGTATGTGGGAACAATGCCAGGAAGATGAATAAGAGCAGTAAAAGGCTGTAATAATTGACAAAACATTCTTGATTTTTATTTTACCAGGTAAAGCCCGCTGAGCTATAAAGCTCTTTTTCAGAAACGATCTGGCCATAAATGACAGCTCAACGAAGTGGCTTACAGCAGCCAAATACTCTAAACGCGTGTTTCTAACGTGGAAGGAAAAACCGGAGGACCCGGAGGAAAATCCATGCGACCACGGGGAGAACATACAAACTCCAAATATACAGCAGGCGTCAGGGTCGGGATCGAACCCACGACTTCCTGTATACCAGGCGAGGGAGTTTACATCTCCCCACCGCAGGAGCCCCTATATAAATATAAATACTCTACACATGTACTTTTTTCACGTAAAAATGCATCAAAAAGTGGTGCGATTGAGCAATGTAAAACAACGCGCGTACCACACCACTGGCTGAAATTCCTCGATGTATCGCGCCTCCACTCTATATTACAGCCTCCAGGTGAAGCTCTAATAAGATTGTCGACATTTATTGGGCATGGAATAAGTTCTCACCCCCCCCCCCTCATACCCTCCCAACCCCACTCCAGGGGATTCAATGATTTGTCAACATGCATGGTGAATGTGAATCAGCGTCGTGGTATTAAATCAAGCATTGCGGGATGCATGAATAACGCTGCAAAAAGTGAGATTATTATTTATCCAAAGGAAAAGCACCACTCTATAAAATAGCACACCAAGAGATACGCTCTCCAAATACGAGCTGCAACGTTTTTCCCTTCTCGCCTACCCCACCCCACCCCCATCGTCTCAAACGTTTTTGTAAATGCGCCAATGACCAAATCGTGAGCTCACGTTGTTATATATATGAAGCATTTATTGTTGACGATGACGGTGGCGAAGCATTGCCGGCCTGTGCTCCATGACACTGCCACTGGCTCAACCCTCACGAACTTCAAATGAACCACCAAGGCGAGTTCGCACCGTCCTGCTAGGGAGGTAAAGGTGCTGCTGCTGCTGCCCTTGACGGCGGTGGCTCGTGCCGGTACTGCCTTGCTCCGTTGATATTTTGACCCACGGAGAATTCGGAACCCCAGGGTTGAAAAATATATTCGATTTCAATCCTCCAGCTTGTGGTAGTCGAATCAAGTTTTGGGTCATTCTTCTTTTAAAAAATGTGTAGTTGTGTTCGGAGTTAGCGTATTAGTTGTGTACATTAATATAGACAAAAGATAAAAATATATATATCATTCTGTCCCCAGGAGTAATTTTTCCATGGGGAAGAAGGGATTCAAATTACCATAATAGAAATGATACCACAGGGATCCAGTATTTGTGTATATATAGTATTCTGACTGCGGGGCTCCAAATTATAACTGTGACTCTTCCACCACCAAGAATGCAGGCTAAAGAGACACGAAGGACCACTGTGTTGCATTACGCTGGTGGGCACCGAGCGTTTCAGAGAACCAGCTGAGAGGTGCTGGGCGTGGGGGGGGGGGGCGCTTAGGCGGTGGAAGGGGGCGTTGTGGGTGGGTGGGGAACTCACTCGTTCCGAAGTAGCGTCTGGCAAAAAATCTTCACTTTCAGTTCCTCAACGTCCACGTCCACACAGTCCTGAGATGAGAAAAGGCGAGAGGTAGACAAAGTGAGCCACGGCGATCGTATCCTCACTCCTGACCCGCAGAGTTGTCGCCATCATTGTATGCCACCGTCAAGTGCGATGAGGAAGGCTGAGAGTATAAATCTAAATAATCACCACCTTTGTCATTGACACTGCATTAAGACAGAAAAGGTACGCAGTTCACTCTCGATTACAAAGCTTTCGTGACTGCAGGGATTCGTATTATTGGTTCTTTCGGTAAAGTCACGTAGAAGGGAAATAATAAAAATAAAACATAATAAGATAAAATTCTCACGACGTTTCGGCCACAACGCAAGCAGCCGTCCTCAGGTGAAGAACAGGGCTGTCGGAAAGACAGCGTCCTAATGAACAGCGTCCTAATGCACATTAGGACGCTGTCTTTCCGACAGCCCTGTTCACCTGAGGACGGCTGCTTGCGTTGTGGCCGAAATGAACGTCCTAATGAACATTAGGACGCTGTCTTTCCGACAGCCCTGTTCACCTGAGGACGGCTGCTTGCGTTGTGACCGAAACGTCGTGAGAATTTTATCTTATGTTTTATTTTTATTATTTTGTTTCCCTTCTACGTGACTGTACCGAAAGAACCAAGAATACAGTTCACTCTCGATTACAAAGTGAGTGGATTATCCGGGTTGCGGATTGACCGTGCTCATCTGTGCGTTTTGCGTGCACGCTGGATTAACGCGTCAGCTGCTCCTCACCTATCGAAGGTCTGTGTGACTCGGTGTCGACAAGTAAATGGATTACTTTAAGAACCAACAACAAGAGACAACACATTATCTGTCCTCACCCCCCATTCGATATTGGTAAACAATAAAATAGATTTGAATTAGCTAATAATGTTTTTTATAATCTGTGGCCACCTGTCACCCTGATAACCCCGATTAAATAAGATTTTACTTTAAAGCAAAACGGCATTTGATTTCCTTTAGGGGGATGAATAGAGATATTGGTACCTCCTCAATGTACTGCAGCAGGTCGAGGGCTTTCTTGAAGTCAAATTCGTTTGCCTCTCGGTTGTCATCGCTAATGTACATCTGAGAGGGAGGAAGCAACACACACACACACAGAGGTGACCCGATTGCAAAGCGTACGGTGACAGATGTACAGGGATGCTTGCAATTGAACTTGCACCAATCAGACATAATGATTGTGTGTTAAAGATATTGTGAAGAGGAAGATAAAGAGGAAAATGAAAAGTAGATGGATGCTGAACTCTAGAACCCATCAATCACCTCTGCATTCCTTCCCACCTGATTTAATCTAAGGTCAAACTTTTGCATCTAAATGTAACCAATTACACAGCTGCTGATCGGCTTGACTGCTCTAATAATCGGTAACACAAACAGCACAACAAACCCCAACATGCGTTGCCAAGGTATTTAGGAAAAATAAAGACGACGACAACGATGATGACGATGGAGAAAAGAGGGAGAGGAAGGTGTGCAGGCACACGTGCCGCTCACCATGATGAGCTCGTTGGCCGACAGCACTCGCATCGAGTCCACGTCCATCTCCTTGGCCTCCAGCAGCTTGAGGGGCAGCGAGTCCTGGTACATCATGAAGTCCTGCTCCGCGTCGATGTCTGCACCCGCAGGCGCACGTCAAAAAAACAACATAACAATGAACCCCTGCAATCCCGCTGGTCTGCAAGGTGATCGAAGGTGGCGGCACGGCAAATGGTTTCGTGAGCCTGTCTGTGCGGTTGTGTTTGCTCTGATTTATCGATTCGCTTAATTACTGTCCAATAGTTTATTCCTCTTGTCATTTTTGTGACCCAGTTCATGGTTGTAAAGGAGACGATATCCTGGTCTCACTGGTTAAACGAAATAAACTTGAAACATTGGACTGTGAAAACCTGCGACCGTTATTCCCTTGAATAACTCCCACGTGAAAAAAAACACCTTAAAAAGGAACTGGACAAATCTGGCAATGTAGAATGCTCCTGAAAACAAACCTTCAGACTCAATGAGTCTTGAAACTCAATGAGGTTATTCTGCATGAATAAATGGCATAAGAATCGCTTCAGATGTGTCGTCAAACAAGTTTGAATTTGCCACACCGGACGCATCAAGCAGAGTGGAACAACCACGTCGGCTAAAAATCACCAGGAACATCTGCTACGTGGCCATGCGCTGTGGCTATAGGCCACCTGGAATTGCATAAAAGCTTCACAGCCACAAAGGAAACCTCTTAAAAACGTGGGGTGCACACATATCAACAGATCGATGTTTCAGAACACCTCTCTGCAACGTGCAGAGAAAGTTTTGTCCGCCTAGAGGTCTCAAATTGCCTTCGAACCAGAATCAGCTGGTCCAACTTCACAACGTGCGGAATATGGGCTGCACCAACGACCCCGACACACGTGACTGCGGTGAAACAGACTACAGAACTTTGATTGGCCTGAGCCTTGCACCGTGGAGGACCTTGCCAGGGCCACAAACTTGGTGGCCGTATCACCATCGACATCATCATGTGGCCGATAATGGTTAACACCTAGGCCTGAGGTGGCAGGACATGAAACGGAAGTAGTCATGGAAGCCTCTCCCCTAGCGACGCACTGTTGATTAAGGAGTGTGTGTCCTGGGGGCTCATGTCGGAGGCAAGGGCGGACAGCTTGCTGAGGCTCAGCAGCGTCTTCTTGCGCATGAAGTAGCACGCCTCCTGCTCCGCCAGCGAGCGCAGGGTCTGTGATGCCTGCACACGGACGCACGCACGCACGCACGCACGCAAGATCAGGTATGCGAACTCCTCTTGCGCTGTTGCGATTCACTGTACGTGTGTGTTACGTACAACCGTTGTTAATCCGCTGCTGAATGAGGGCCTTCCCGTGCCGACGCGGATCGTAGGTATTTGACCATACTTCACCACACTGGTCAGTGCAGGTGGACAGTACAGTAATACATTCTGCAGCACTGCCCTCTGCTGCCAGCCACGTACTTCTGCAGCCACCTTGGAACAATTGCTTTTGTGGTGGTCGCCCATCCAAGCACTATCCACGCTCAAGTCACCTCTTGTCCCAACTCCTGATCTCACGAATACGGTGTAAGCCAACCCCTTAAGACGCGCCGCAATAATACGCAACAACACCCCCACCCCCCCCACCTGACCTGTGTGAAGCTGGCCATGTGTACATGGTGCAGCCAGCTCAGGTGCTGGTGCCCGATGAGGAAGGTGTTGAGCTGGGAGTTCTGGGCGGCCGGTTGCGTGAGCAGCTTGCTTCGCTTGCCTTTCTCCATGTACCAGCGGAAGACAAACTCGGAAAAATTCTGCAACGTTCAATTGTAAGATTTTAGGTTTTCCCGCAGACCGACCCAGGTGGGTGAACGTGCGGGTGTGCCAAGTTTATTACTCTCCAAAACACCCGATGGTGCTGAAGCAGTAATGCATTTGGGCACATTCAATTCACGTGACACTTTTATTCATTTGCCTTTGTCGGGTGCACGATATGACATTTGTACACGACCTAACCCCAAGGATACCAATTATAAATCGTGATAAGTTTAATTGGGCACGGAGTAAGCCACCATCGGCGACTGAAGAGATGTTAATAATTTAACCAGCAGGGGTGTAAAGATTTTTTATATATTTTTTCACAACCACGGTTTATCCAAAACTCGGATCAATCCGCTGACAGACAGTCGAGACCCATAAGAGTTTTTTTGGGTTGAATTTCATAAATGTGCCATTAAACCTGCCACCATTCGAACGGCACGTTATTAAATTTATGCAATCTAACCAAAAAATACCTCTGTTAAGGATATTGGTCACGAAAGCCTACGAAAAATCTGGAGCCAGTTGTATGCATGCACGCAAAAAGTGGAGTACAAGCGCACCTTGTCAGCAAACTGTGTCATGTAGCGCTGCAGGCGAGCCTGGTTGTTGGTCTCCTCACACAGCCGCACCAGCACAGTCAAAGTCTGAGTACTTCTCAGCAAGAGCGGCTGCCCTCTCGTACTGCCGCAAGTTCACTGGGGAGAAGGTGGATGAATAAATCAACGGAAAAATTAAAGTGTTCATATTGAAAGGAGTTTTCTTTACAGCGATGCCAATGGTTGACACGCACTGCGCTGCGATCCTGACGATCTCAAAACCAGTTATGGATCGTTGCTTGGTCTGACTCGGGTTAAAACAAGTACCTATTCCGGTGTGTAAACATGAGCATAGGCTTATGACAACGGCTACCGAGCATGCCTACAAAACGTGTTTTGCACTGGTACACAATAATAAACCTTCAACTATTAGCAGAAAAGGGTTGTCTTTCTACTCACCCACAGAGCACCCCCCCCCCCCCCAGGCATTACATCAAACCGATGGAGGTACCAATCGCCCCCGGCAGAGGAGCCCTCCATAGCGAGCGAACCGACCGCGTGACCACCTCACGTGACCACCCCACTGTGGCCACCCCACATAGGACGTGCGTATCTTGCGGCTCTTGGCCAAATGAAGATGTTGGCACGCGACTCAAAGGGTCAGGCGGTTTGGCCAACCCTGTCATATAACAACAACAACTAATGTCGAGAGACTCACAGTAGGCCCCTAGCAGCTCCGATCGTGCCCGCGCAAACTCTGCGTCCGCAGCCGCGTAGTTCAACTCCTGCTCTTCCTGCTGCCGCTCTTGCTGCAGCCCGTGTCGGTACTGCAGCGCGCGCAGGCGACTCTCGAACGCGCCGAGGCAGGAGTCGGCGATCGCCACAAGCTGGTCGAGCAGCGTGCGCCGTTCCGCGGAGTCGGCTTCAGGCAGGGCATGCTGCAGCACCAGCGCGTGCTGACGCAGCAGCAACTCTCGCACGGAGCTGCTCGCTGTTGCAGGAGACGAAGGAGTGAGGCGGGACATGGCGGTAATGTCAGGAGCGATATTGATTGAGAGAAGTCAGATGTAAAATATAAAATTTTAAAACATATATATATTTATTTCATCTATCCTAGGGCAGTATTCTTCTAAAAATGCCAGATTGAGGACTTGTGTAACGATTGATTTTTGTAGAACTTGGCAACACGCACATCTACAACCACCACGCAGCCCCCAAGAAACACGTAGGGTGCAGCGCAGCCAGAAAAGGAGAACTCGATTTAGCACAAAAGGGAACTGAGAATCTTTGGAGATTCGACACTGCGGTTGGGAATCGAGCAAGGCTCGTAGACGCTCCACTGCCATTGAAATCCCCCCCCCCCCTGCGCCAGCCTGCGCAGCCCCCCACCCACACCTGTCCAAGGCACGTGGCCCTCGTCCGAGAATCCCTCTGCGTCCTCGCTCTGGTACAGCGAGCCCTCCTGCTGTCGGTACTGCCAGGATCTCTGCAGCACGTCCTGCACATGGATAACGGACCAAGCGATAACACATTTTTTTTTTAATGAAGAAAAATCATGCATACGATTGGTTTAATAAGAAGAATTTTGTACATTTGGTATCGGGAGCCTGTTCAGAAAATGCTGCTGGTGTTTAAGTTAAGAGCCCTCCCCACAAACACTGTGGGGGATGCACTGTCTTGATGAATCACGAATAATAAAAGAACAAATGGCTATGAGAGTGAATATTTAGCCCTTTCCTCGGTAAGGAAAAGGTTCCCCATCCCTATGTTCGTGGGCCTTGTAGGCAATTATTTGAATGAGGCAATTACTCAATTGGGATTATACGTTAAATACATCACCCCCCACAGTGAAACTACTGCAGACTATAAAGGTGAAGCATAGCACCTTCATGATAGCCTTTCTTGATATAACGGTGCAAAACATCAAATGTGGTATATTATTTCGATTTAAAGCTTTCGTGACTGCAGGGATTCATCTTCCTGGTTCTTTCGGTAAAGTCACGTAGAAGGGAAGTAATAAAATAATAAAAATAAAACATAATATAATAATATAATATAATTTTATTACTTCCCTTCTACGTGACTTTACCGAAAGAACCAGGAAGATGGTATATTATTATTGATGAATGTAACCTCAGACCGTGTGGAATAAAAGTGAATGTTACGGATCTGCAGATGTTTTTGCCCCATGACCCTCGGCGTCACCGCACCCGGAGGACGGTGTTGACGGTGATGACAGAGCGCATCAGATCGGGGATCAGGAGGTGATCGTCCGACAGGATGTCCTCCAACTCCCCCTGCAGCGCCGGGAGGGCCTCCTCGATCCGTGTCACCTGGGTGACGTGACAGACGTGCACACGTACGCACATCCAGACACGTACGCATGCGCAGACGTGTACATAGACATACACGCACCCCACGTTCGCAAAAAGTACACATACACAAGTGCACAGACGCAGGCATGTAGACGTACGAACACGTACACATATGCACACACGCGCAGACACGTACACATACGCACATGTACACATACGCACAAACACGCACGCACAAATGTAAACACGCACGCGCACACATGCACAGTCGCATGTGAGAATGAGGAACATTACAGTAGCAATACATCCTGCACATGCACAAAGGCCCAAGCAATTAAAAAATTTGTTACAAAAAATCATGCATATTCAAAAGCTATGTAACGTTTTCCAATATAGGTTAATCTTGGAAAGTATTTAATTAGAAGAACTGGATTTTAGAGAAAAACATGTTTGCATAGGCATTTAATTTTTATTTTTTCTCTTGATCGTCTCTCAAATGTTGGGGCAACCCTTGGAAAAATTTGGCCCGTTTTCAATCGTGTAAGATCCTGACAGCAAGACAACTAAATACAAGTTCATTTCAAATTGGATCATCACTACGAGAGCTGTAGTTCACACCCGCAAATGGAAGGACGGACAGAGTTAACGCCATACCACTTACAACCTTAGAAAACATTCATAACAAAGGAAACATAGTGTGGACCAGAGGTCACTTCCACGGGTAGGCCTCTAACACAAAGAGTTGCCCTGCTGTACTGGAGATACCAATGTTCACATGACGTGACGCCGAAAGCGCAATCGTCACAAAAACTTGGGAATAATTACAAAAGGAAAACAGAATTGCTGCAACCTCTCGAAAAAACAGGTCGGCAGGCGTGAGTGCCTCGCTGTGTCCTCCTCCTCGAACCGCCCTCCGCCTCGTCTCCCCGCGCCGCCAGCGCTCGGCACACGGCGCCGTTGAGCAGCGTCGGGTGGCGCGAGTGGTGCTCCTTGAGCACCAGCGCGGCACACAGCTTCTCGGCGTGCTCTCGCAGCACCGCGCGCGTCGGCGCGCTCGCTGCCCACCGGCGGCCGGTCGGGGGGGCGCCCTGCGACGGCCACGACAGGCTGCGCGCTGTCACTGAGGCCAGCCGCGGCAGGATGTGGCACTGCCGGGAGAGAGACACGGGAGGGAGGTAGGCATTGCACGCGGTAGTTAGGTTCGTCATGATATCGTTTTACATAACAGGATATGACTTATCTACGGTAACAGTTTCCCGTAACTTTGTAATTGTTTGTAGAATTTCTATTGGAGGGGAGGGAGATTGCACGCGGTAGTTAGGTTTGTCATGATATCGTTTTACACAATAGGATCATCATCAGCCACAGTCAATCCAGCGATGAAGGCCACCCCAAACAACATACTCCGAGCACATGCATACAAACTGATTTCATTGCTGCACTTCCTCTCCGTAGATGTGTTCTCGGATGCGTTTAATTCCTTGGCAACCGCTCACATGTACGATGCAATTTCACTTTTCCTGATATGACGTATATACGATAACAGTTTCTCCTAACTTTGTAAATTTTATGCAGAATTTATACTGTTGTTGTGCTTTGCTGTACTTCCGAGTAAGAATGAAGATAATGCAAAAGGTTTTCGAAGCGTATTTCACTCAACGGATGCCTGCCAACAATATCTTAATCATTGCGACTTTACAAGCAATAATACGTATAATGCAGATGCTGTCAGTTATACAAGAAATATATTACACAAGCTGTAAATGGGCTACATTATATCCTCATGGACATTAGTAATATATTTTATTTGTATTGACCCGGAAAAGGGCCTGTTGACCTAAAAAGCATTTACCAACATTGACCCTGGGAGTGGGAGGCGAATGGATAGAGGTAAAAAAAGGGCACAGAAATAAAAGAGGAAATGAAAAGGATGGCAAAGAAGCCAGATATAAGGGGAGGCAGGCACTCCACCGCTGAATTAGCCCGGCATCTCGAGGATACACTGTACATTCATTCTCATGTCACGTGTGGCGCGCCACCGATAGCCGTCGGACCTGGCGGAGGAAGTTCATGTAGTCCTTGTGCACGAGCAACTTATCCTCCAGCTGGGGAATCAGCAACAGCGAGGACTGGCCCAGGCCTACGACATCTGCAGCAATCGCAGGGCGAGGCAGTCACACATAAGGGAGGCATCGACCGTGAACTGTAGCGGTAGGGGAGGTCAGATGCACGACGTGCGGTGTGACAGAAAAAGTTTTACGTGACCCGCGACCTTACGGCAATGGTTGTCGGCCCACTTGAACACGCAGGATTGTGTATGCCAAGAATAAAAATTATATTAGTACATTTGGTACACATTTGGTACTCGTGTATTTCTTATAGCAAAAGGCTATCACGAAGGTACTATGCTTCACAGAGAGTGTGCAGTAGTTTTACAGAAAGAGGCGACGATCGCTATTTATAATCCCAATTGAGTAATGTGGGTGATTTCAGATGCGGAAATTTCAGACCATGATGCCGGCACACAATGGGCTACTCATTTTGAACGTTCAATGTGAAGCAGACGGCACGCATTTGTAGGGTTAATAAATCCGCAGTTATGACCAGGGCGGCCTGCCTGATTCGAACCGCTAACCTCTGCAATCAGTGGCGAACGCACTACCGCTGCGCCATGTTGATTAGGTTGAAGTCTCCATCGACAGGACATATTGCATGTTGTCGTATGGCATACGGATCTAGATTTGGCCCGTGAGCAACTCAACTCCCCATCGCCACCTTATGCCGATTGACCACAGCGTTACACACATGCATACAACACCACTAGAAACACAGATGCAACAGCGCTATACACACACCCAGACAAAGCATAGGACGGCATAAAGCACAACGTTACACAAATACTGAACCGTTAAACAAAGGCAGATAAATCACAGCATTAAAGACAAACAATTTTCACCAAAGTACGACACACACACACATGCACTACTGCCCTGATGTAGTCAGATCATATATTTGGTTCTAACTTCCTCCAGCAAAACATTAACAAAATAGAAGTAGTCCTCATGATGCGGCTACCACCACACCCAGCCACATTTGTCTCCCCAGTGCTGATGTTTGTACACCGCAAATATGTCGATCTAGGAGAGGCCCAAGAGCGGTTCAAATATTCGCCACTGTTATTGGTCGCGAGCAGGAATCGAACTCAGGTCACTGTACTCACAGTGGAATGCCCTAACCACTGCACTACCGTTTCCCACACACATTTACTTCACGCCAAAGACAAAAATCCCCCGTATAGCCCTAATAGACTGTTGGGGCAAGAGCACCTATGAAGGCAAGAACGGCACACGGGGGGGTGGGTGGCCAACACCACGCCCAACCATCTTTGTCTCCCCAGTAGCGATGCTTACACACCACACCAGGTACTCATTTGAGGCTGAGTCGACCTAGGCAAGGCCCAGGACCGGATCAAATATTCAGCACTGTAATTGGTCGTGAGCGCGAATCGAACTGGGGTGGACGGGCTCGTAGCGCGGTGCGCTAACCGCTAAACTACCGCTCCCCACTACTTCGCACCACATGCGTACGCACATGCACGTACACATGCACGCACACATGCACGTACGCACACATGTACCTTCGGGCACGGACTGCGCCCACCGCGGGTCTGATGCAGGGAAGTCATCGGTCATGGCGGAGCTCAGCCGCGCCACGGCGACGTCCAGCGGCGAGTCCGTGCGTCCATCCGTGTCCGTCGGGAATTTCTCATCCACGATGGCCTGAGCACCTACGTAGTCCTGCCTGTGCTCACCAGCAAGGTGGGGGGGGGTGGGGGGCAACCAGCATAGGAATTGAGAAAACTGGGTGATACAATACAATTTGCTTCTTATGAAGCTCTATGGGACATCTGTAAAAAAAGCTTTACATCTCATCGGATTCCTGCAGTATAAATATTCACATTCTGATATTCACGCAGTGCATCCCAGCATGCCTTGCAACAATGATCATTTTTAAAAAAACACTTTTATAGCCCTTGTCCAATCAATTCAGCCCTTGCTCAATCAATTCAGCTAATTATCCCCCAGTTTTTGTTCGTGTGGAGATATGATGCGCCTCCCGCAACAGATCTCAGTAGGCAGGTAGGCAGGTAGGCAGGTGATATGTGTATGGTAAGGGACCCATGGCCACAATCGCACTTGAGGTCATCCCTCATGTTCCCCTCATGAAGCAGGTGTCCACACCGTGTACCTGTGTCCTGTGTGGTTTTGGTTTGGTGCTGTGTACTGTTTTTGAGGGCCCAAACTAGACGTCCCATTATAAGCATTTCTCATCATCCAACAGAAGAATAATCCAACCAGCTAAAAATGGGATTATTCAAACTAATATGTTTAAACATTTCACGTAAAAGTTTTCGTTGCGCCAACATTCCTGATACGACTTGGAGCAAACTTCCAGAAGCAGAGCATAACAACTAAACGCCATTGTGATCCACCAGATGAGTCCATCGCAAATGCAAGAAGGGATTGGTAGTTTCCGTTTTTTTGTTACCAATAATTTTCTTTCATCTATTATCTATTTGGCATGCATATGCAAATATATAACAATAAAAAAAGTCCAGCCCTATGCGTGTCTTTGTGTCTGTGTAAACGTACCGCGCAGTGACCGATTAATCTCACCGCTGGTGCCTTGCGATGGCGGTTGCCGTCCTATTACATTCCCACTCGCATTGCGGTTTAAATGTTGGCGCACGCCAATTGGTTCCATCGTTACTGTCACTGAACTTGATTCGATTATCAATTTCTACGAAGATTAAAAATCGATAACCGATTATGAAAACGCTAAATGAAAAAACAATTTACAACCTTCAAATCAATAGTCACGGAAACGCTCGTCCACCGCCACTGTCCGCAAGTGGCAATTGCTCACCGGCACAAGAGCAGTAGGGCAGCCTTCAGCGCCGCCACTCCCTCGTCCTGCCGCCCGGCATCAGAGCGCAACACCGAGCTCTCCAGCACCGACGTCTGGCAGCACCAACACCAACGAGCAAAGACTTAACATCGATGACGACAACAACAAAATAAATACGTGGGAAAGTCCACATCGTGCACAGTATGCGCCCTTGATAGTTACACCACTGGTGGGTGATATTGGGACGTGTTGCAAGAAATGTAGATGGGGCCACCCCCCACTGTTTTGTAGCCTGGTACCTAGGCCCCTTTGATCCATCGGCCCATGTGCATTTGCACCACCTGTAAACTCTATAGCCACGTGACTTGTGGTCGATGAAAATAACGACATGGGCCCCCACCTATCTCCTCGTAGTCTGGCGGCTGAACCCCTCAGGTCCAGTGGGCTCCAACCCTGTCGCAACTCGCTGCTCTGGCCGCACGCTCAATATCTCCGCCGCTTCACCAAACGACAGGTCGACGTTAACCGTGTAAAAGCGAGTGTGTGCGCGCGTGCTCACCTCGGCTGTGCCGGGCCCCGGTGAGGCCATAGGCGAGACGATTGTCGAGGTGACGTTGGAGAAGAGCGAGGCCTCGAGTGCCGGCAGAAGGGAGGTGGTCGCGTGGCGTGCGCTCAGCGACAGCAACCCCATGTGGCGCGAGAAGAACACAGGGACAGTGCCCACGCTGCCACCGCCCAGCACACTGTCGCCTGCCGCACAGAGGGTAAAGAGCAACGAGGGTGTTGCCCACTCGAGTATTCCGTGATTTGACAAATCGTCATCATTCGGAGTCGTGATTCGGTTTCTGAATCAATCGTGTTGTTTACTCAGCATCATCGTCGTCATCATCATGGTGAGCCACAGTCTTATCCACTGCTAGATAGTGTTCTCAAATGCTTTGGCGATCCCTCACAATTCTGTGATGCCACAATCGATCTCACTCTTGCACATGAACTGATTTCATCGCTCCGTATCTGTAGTCTTCACCAGATTTCATTTGGCCACCATTCCATCGCCAGCCTCATCATCCCCCTGCGGTTGCAATACCTCAGCACCCAATCTCCATGGTGGTTGACCGCAGGCGCATCCTTTGTTTTATTTGCCACCGTCACCAGCTACCATTCCTTTTAGTAACATGTTAAAGAATGATAATTGCATTTGGGCAAATGATCTTTCTTTAACAGTCAATTTATAATCACAATGTTAAGTAGGGTGGAGCGGTGGCACAGTGGTTAGCGTGCTCCACTATATCCCCAGCCATGGATAAGATCAATGGCAAGTAGATATCTGTACCTGTCCTGGGCCGCCACATCATCAACCCGCATTTGACCAGTGTGGTGAAGTACAGTCAAACAAACCCCATGAACCGATATGATACATGGGGAGGCATTTATCCAGCAGCGCATTGAGATAGGAGTAAGGAACATTAAGGAGCCTTGATCGAGAAAATCTGAGAATCAGTGCGATGACCATGATGACAGCAATGACAAAAACAATAATGCCCACACAGACGAAGATAATGATGGCAACTTCCATAACAATCAATCCATCGCACAGCGTTTGCTGTTGGCACAACAGCCCTCACCTCTACCGCTCTCACCTGGTGTGCAGAAAGGAATTTTTTCCTGCTGCAGCCACCCACTGCCACTGCCGCCTACGATGGAGCACATGAACACCATGCCGCCGTCGTACAGGCACGCCAGCGAGCCCTCGGGGTCCGGCACCAACAGGCGGCACGCGGGCTCTTCACCTGCCTGTGCGAGTGGGCGTGAACAGGCACATTGCCCTGGTTATGCACGCCAATGCCCATAAAGTAATTTGTCAGCTGTTTCTTAAACACTTTCCCATTCCGATAATGTACATGTACACGATAAAGTTTTTGTTTCAATTCCGTTCAGATGACGTACATGAATGGCACTTTTATCAGTACGTCTTCAGGTCGGAAGATGTACCGAGGCTCCCACAAGGCCATGAGAGAAGGTGTGGCACAGTTTGGTGCCAGCTATCAGAGTGCAGTTGTATCGCTACAGTTCTCTGCGGTGACTATGTCTTTAAAAATAACGGCACTATGCCTCTCCAAATAAAGTTAATGCTAACCGCTTGTGCGTTCCAAGATTCAGCGGTGAAGAGAACTCACCCTACAACTTGCAGACATCTCAGAATGGGAACGGGTCAATTATCTCACAGAGAACGGCCCATAGAACGAGATATCACATAACTACTTCACAGAGGCTGTTGGGGAAAGTGCTGTGTGCAAGCAATGAAGGCCGGGGGTGGGTGGTGTGGTCAGTATCATGCCCAGTCATCTTTGTCTCCCCAATGATGAGATTCACACACCACACCAGGTATCACAGGGGAAGCCCAGCATAAGTAAATGTTGCCACTGACATTGCCCGTGAGCAACAGAGGGTCGCAGCGCAGTGTACAAACCACTGCATGAACAATCCGCTGAAAACGCTCTCTACACATCAACAACAAGACAAAGATCCCTTGACAGCCGCACAGACAAGTGGGGCAGATTCTGCTCATGAACTCATATGAAATCCGGCACGGCACATGAGGGGTTGGCGTAGCCAGCATGAACACACACTCGCAGACCCACACGCTGACCTGCAGGGGCCGCTGGTAGGACAGCACCTCCACGGAGACATCCTCGCTTAGCTGCTGGCCCTCGTCGACGAGGCTCAGGAGGACATGGTATCCGAGGCACTGGCTGTCACCACGGTGCCACGCAGCCGCCAGCACCACTACGCCGCAGCTGCGGTGACAAAGCGGTCAAAGGTTAGGCGTAAGAGAAACGGTTGCGTTAACCAGGGTCTGTGTCAGCGACAGCCTACATGACGATGTGCGACGGAAAATGTGTGGGTTCCTGCTTGTTTACAATCAACTCCTGATTATCCGGAGCAAGGACAGGCAGGGGTAGCAAGGATAGAACAAAACACGATGTAATACTTGTGTACGTTAGACTACGGAAATATAGATTAACCATTGTAAATTAGGGCCAAGACATAAAATATGTCAACCTTTTGAATCTTTTTATTTATGTAATCATGATTTGCCAACACAGTTGTGGCCACTCACCCTGAATAAGTATCAGCGAATAATTAAACCAGAGTGCACGTTAAAATATTAAATTTAGTTTTTTCACACAGCAAAGTTAATAGGCAACCCAGATAACCCATTGGATAATCAAGAGTTAACTGCATAAGGCAAATAACAATAATCCCCATCTCGCAATTATTTGGAATTATTGTAATTCAAGGTGAAAAAAAAAGTTTTTTCATGAGGATAGGGTGAATGCAGCGACACAACTGGCCGCAGAGGTCACGTGGACTGAATACATTCAGCACCGTTAATGAATACAAAACAATAAACTCTCGCACACACCCCCAGAATATGGATGCGTGTATCGTTACAATAATAATAAATTGTAACGTATGCGTTATTACATCAGGTGATGTTACTATTGGCCCAAATACGTTTTAAATTATACGGTGTAACGTGACTCAATAAAAGATCCAAAATTGTCGCTATAAATCAGAAATATGAATTCCTATATATATCCCAAATGATCTCATTATTGATCCACCCCATCCTCCTAAACATTCTGGGTGATGACTCACTCTGTAACCTGCAGGTCCAAGTGTTTGATCTCAATGCGTTGCTTTATTTCCTCATAGTTTTCATCCGAGCCCTGCAATCGAACCACAATGACATGGATTTTTTTACTGGTTCACTCTCAGACACTCTCAGACACAGTATTGAGAATCCACCAACACTACCTTTCTGGCCTCTATGTGCTGTGCAGACCAGCCGTTACCATAAATGTCGCCTTTCAAATACTTTTTATTCTAAAGGCAATGATAATGATGAAGGTGTTGGTAGTTATTTTTTTGTTATTTGTGCTTGTACACCACTGCCAACGCAGCGACATCACCAAATAATTAGTTTGACAATTGAAATGAGAATTTAACGATTCATTAATACCGATTCTCACCAGAATCATATTTAAATCGTGCATGTAAGAATTGATTTATAATTTACACGGATTATATACTAAACAAAGCATATGTTTAAGTAACTAATAGAAGGTAAAAAAAGGCAAAACAACATGAGGCTGAACAATGAAGCGAAGAGAAAATACTTTTCTTGAAAATAATTACGACCCAAAATTTCCACAATTAAAAGTATCGGCTGTCGCGCGAATCATTAACACTCAGCTTTTGGGATGCACAGAACATTGCGGGAGGGGGGGGAAACATGTACATGTACAGCCCTTATATCAATCCACTGCTGGATGAAGGCCTCCCCATGCCGTGTGGGCGATGGCGAGTTATTTGACAATACTTCAACACGTGCGGTTGGTGAAGGTGGGTAGCATGCATGTTGCGGCATAGTACAGTACAACAATGGATTTTACTGTCCTGACCTCTGCTGCCCACAACGTCGACCTGTTTTGTTTATGGTGGTTATTCGTACAAGCAATATCCAGGCTCAAACAATGCTTGGCTTCTGAGATCTGACAAAATCAGGTGCATTCCGGATGATTTGGAGAAGAAAAAAAACCCGTTAAAGAGAGCAAGCAGTTGGTTACCCAGATGGCATCAGTGATCATGCTGTCGAGGGACTTGTGGAGGTCGTAGGTCAGGACCAGCCTCTCGGTGCCGCTGGCCAGCGCCCACTTGCTGAGGCTCTCACTCGTGAGGCTGTAGAGCACCTGGTCATCGGCCCACACCTGGGCGCGCACCATCTGTGCGGAGTTATATAAGGCAACCAGAAGAAGCATGGATCTCACTGCACCCTGACACTGAATAATTGTTTAAACATAACGGTGAATGCAGTGGCCTCGACTGGCTGAAAGAGTCACGTGAACTCAATTCGTATAAATTACACGCATCGAATATGTTAAACCCATGCTATAAAAGTGACGACTCGGTATCTTCGACACGACCATTATGAGATGTGTGCCAGTGATGGATAAATATTGTTGGCGATCCATTTAAAAGCAGTAAACCTCATGTGGCCACGATCCAAATTAAATCAACCTGTGGGCTCTATTTGGCCCATGGGCCATAGGTTCCCCACCCACAGTTCCAGGGCTGCCCTGTCTAACCACACCCCCACCCCCGACTGCTGCATTGCCGCTTACCGTAGCGTCGACCGCAACTGGCGAAAGCATGTTAAACATGGACGACACGCGGCGTCCGAGGCCAGACAGAACGCCCTGGTGCTGTCCCAGGAGCCTCGCCGCCACCGTGCCAACTCCGCCACTGCCGCCTCCGCCCGCTCCTGGTGTTGACCCCGTGCCTCCACTGCCACCGGGCTCACCGACCGGCGTGAGCAACCACAGCTGCCCGTGCACGGTCGCCAGCATGAAGGCGTTGCCCGGTGCGCGCATCAACGAGTGGCACAGCTCGGGACCGCAGCCCAGAGCGGAGTCACTGAAAGTCGTGTCGTGCGTCAGCACGGGCCAGTAGCGCAGCACGCCCTCGGGAGACGCCGCCAGCACAGACACCGCCTGTGCGCATTGGTGACGATTAATGGTTAAGATGCAACCGAAGCAATAAACAGCTCTACAATTTCACAAATATGAGCCAAGCTCTGTCACAGCATCACTGGACTTTCTCACCAAATAAAGAAATATTATTATTCAAACTGATTTATTGCTCAAATGAGCATTGAGGTGGTGTTCATCTCCAGTTTATAGCCGAGCCAGGGTTGTCCAACTATTAAATTAAGAGCCTTTGTGTCTATTTGAAATTAACACACGGTATTTGATAACGCCTGCCACTGGTGGCTTGTGATGGCTGCCGCTGACCAACCACATTCGAACGTGCCATGCGGTGTGAACGTTCATGTGTGCTTATCAGTCTTATTTCTACGAGGTCAGCTTTACGGAGTTTCCCTCTATTTGTGGGCCTTCCGCCAGCAGTGGTATGAGCAAGCAATTGCAGGGCAACACCTTTACATTTTACCTTTTTAAGCCATGGCTTAATGGGAAACGGGTTATGTGAGAAGTCGGCAATGCTAACAATTAGTTTGGTGCTTCCGAGTGTTTCCTCACTTGCGCCGAAGTGTCGTCCTTGCTCCCAGCGGATTCACGGCAGTGAATTGCCACAAGGTCAGCCGAGTGTGCAAATTCAGTGGGTGGCAGCTTAAGCTCCTTGAAGACTGATGGCTGAGCGGCACGCATGCAGACACGGCAACAAGACAGTGATGACACAGCTGCTGTGGGCCAAACACAACTCTCCACAAAACCTTTACATGAATTAGGTACGTAACTATTTGAACCCCCTGACAATTCGATGAATTGTCATCATTTGAAGTTCTGATCCCATTGAAGAATATTATTGATAGTAGATATTTCTTTTGAACTTCAACCTATTTCCTTTAGAAATTCGTCTTTGAATACATACCAACGATAATCACAATATTTTGATTTGTGTGTGTTTATATCACTGTTTTTTCATCTTACACTTGCACTATTTTTGACTCGCTTCTGTCGTTAACATCAGTCAAATACCTAATTTGTTAGTCATGCAATATTCCTCAAAGATCTGTACTCGTTCTCTGCAATATTAACGTTTTTGGTTTGTTTTTGCTGTTGCTGTAGCACCAAGGATCTCCCATTGTTAAAAGAGCCAGGCAGCTCGCCAAACGGGATAAGCCGTGTAACAAATCAAAATAAACCTCAAAAGCTTAAACTAATGATATTTCTCAAATTTGACAACACAATTATCGTCGAATTTATATCACACGCCATATAATATTTCCATATTGTGGTAACCCTAGTGAACGACCGCCTTGGATTCAGCTGCCAGTACATGAAAGTGAGAGATATGTCACTTATTTTAAACCACATATGTCCTGTTTCTGTCGTGCTATATACCTTTGAGAGGAAGGAGTGTCCAACCTTCCAAATAAACAGGCGATCACCGTAAACGAGCCAGGCCCAGCCGAGGGTATCCAACCCAACGCTCAGCTCCTCATTGGCTAAACGACAATAAGAGCATGATGAGAGAAACTACAAAAATGAAGATTGTCGGGTGACTCAAAAGAGGTTGGAAAGTTTTTCTTTTTAATCCAACATTGTTTTTTGACAATAGGAGGCAGAGGCGGTGATGGTGGCATTCAGAGGTGGGACAAAGTCATTGTTATGCAAGTCCAAGTCGAGTCTGAAGTCATCAAATTCATGACTCGAGTCTGACTCGAGTCCAAGTCACATGACTCGAGTCCACACCTCAGAGGTGGGACAAAGTCATTGTTATGCAAGTCCAAGTCGAGTCTGAAGTCATCAAATTCATGACTCGAGTCTGACTCGAGTCCAAGTCACATGACTCGAGTCCACACCTCTGGTGGCATTACCTGAAGCCATGGCAAGTGCCTCCATGACGGCCACAGATAGCGAGGAGCCGAACCGCTGCAGAGCGTAGCTGGCACTGCCCTCCAGGAGCATGGGGCTGGGCTGGAAAAGCACCCCGCAACTTCTAAACTCCACATCGCATAGGCAAGAAAGGGGGGGAGGGGGGGGGGCATTCATTAGGCAAGAGATAAAAGGAATTCGATTTCAAGTGCTCACTATCAATGGATTCATGTGGTTATGGATGACTCCGATTTCGGGTCCAGTCTTTGTGCCAAGAGAATCACAAAGATATAATGAAATAAAACAATTAAATACCGTGTTGTGACTGGTACATGAGTACACATAAAAACCACAACACAGCGATCATTAAGTCACGCAATTGTCATTAAGGGGGGTAAAGATTTTTTTTTTATCTTGGTATACCGTCTTGTTTGTATTTGCTAAATGTGCAACCCTGCACCTCAAGGGCATTTGGCCTGCTCTTCCACGCTCTTATTGATAGTTTATGTTTTTGTCTCATTCGTTACGTCCGGTTCATACGATTAACATTAATCCCGAGCTCGCCGGACAATGCAACCGCGACATTTCAACAAGTGCACCAAGACAAAGATCCCCCGTGTAGCATTAACATTCTGTTGGGGCAAATGCTGTTAGCGAATGCCTATGAAGGCCGGAACGGCACACAAGGGGGTGGGGTGGCCAGCACCACGCCCGGCCGCCTTTGTCTCCCAACACATTGCACCACGTACTCATCTTAGGCCGAGTCGACCTAGTGGAGGTCTAGGACCAGTTCAAGAAATCGAACTCGGGTCCCCGGGTTCGTAGCGCAGCGCACTAACCGCTAACACCACCGCTTCCCACACGGGTGCACAGCACACATACACACACACACAAAACGTCACGTCCCTTAACAAGTTCAATGCTCATTTGACAACACTTAAGTCAACACGTCACTTGGCCATCATTTTCAACTTGAATTTCCCGGCACCGGTATGTAAACAGAACGTCGTCCCCACTCACAGGACGCACAAACTCGTCACAATTGGACTGGGGGACCCCCATGCATGCTGCTGCGTGTCTGCGTGATGGGCAGCAGAGTGCACTGCAGCGAAATTCAATGTTGTACTGTACTGCTGTGCTACGATATCTATGCTCCCCGCTGTCACCCAGTAACAGAGCGGATTGACAAAGACCTATAACGTACATACAGACGCAACAACAACGTCACCTTCTCATGAGCGAACGGCGAGGGCTGACGGTCAGTGGCGAGATACCGCGAGCCGGACTCTGGGCCTGGCTCTGCGAGAGGAGTGAAGCGTCTCGCCCCGCCGCGGTCCCCGCACTCCTCCGGGCAGCGCTTCTAGTCAAGGCCGTCACGTACGGGGAGCTCGGGGGCCGACGGGCGGCCGACGACCGGGGCGAGTACATTACTCGTTCCGCTCAATTCCCCTTCAAAAGGAAGGAACGAACGAACGTAAGGGGTTAATAATAATAATGATTGTGATAAAATTCTGTGAGAACTATGACGAGGACTTTACGAGTTTTAACGGCGCTCCGACAAGGCGGGAAACGCACGGCACGCACGCTACCGCTGTGGCGACGAATCGCGTGCGGCCCTCGTTCGCGGTCACGTGCGCGTGTAACCGCCAATCGCGAGGCGAGCTGTGGTGAGCTACGGCGAGCCGGGAGGGTGGGGGGGCGGTCGCTTAGGGAGGGAGTGGGGGGGAAATTGGGGGGATTGGGGGTTGGGGTGGGGGGGGAATGGGGGGTGGGGGGGAAATGGGGGGGGGGGATTGGGGGTTGGGTGGGGGTTTGAGGGGAATGGGGGGTGGGGGGAATGGGGGTGGAGGGGAATGGGGTGTGGGGGGAAGGGGGGGTGGGGGGGAAATTGGGGGGATAGGGGGTTGGGGGGGTGAATGAGGGGTGGGGGGAAATGGGGGGGGATTGGGGGTTGGGTGGGGGTTTGAGGGGAATGGGGGGTGGGGGGAATGGGGGGTGGGGGGGAAATTGGGGGGATAGGTGGTTGAGGGGGGTGGGGGTGGGGGGAAATGGGGGGTGGGGGTGAATGGGTGGGGGAATGGTGGGGGAATGGGGGGTGGGGGGGATTGGGGGGTGGGGGAATGGGGGGGTGGGGGAGGAGTGGGGGGGGGAATGGGGGGGTGGGGGGGAATGGGGGGTGGGGGGGGAATGGGGGGTGGGGGGGGAATGGGGGGTGGGGGGGGAATGGGGGGTGGGAGTGAATGGGGGTGAGAATGGGGGGGGGTGGGGGGGAATGGGGTGGGCGAATGGGGGGGTGGTGGAACGGGGGGGGGGGTAGGGGGAATGGAGGGGGGTGGGGGGGAATGGGGGGGTGGGGGGGAATGGGGTGGGGGGGATGGGGGGGGTGGGGGGGAATGGGGTGGGGGGGAATGGGGCATGGGAGTGGGGGTGGGGGGGGAATGGGGGTGGGGGGGAATGGGGGGTGGGGGGGGAATGGGGGGGTGGGGGGGAATGGGGGGTGGGGGGGAATGGGGGGTGGGAGTGGGGGGAATGGGGGTGGGGGGTGGAATGGGGAGGGGTGGGGGGGGAATGGGGTGGGGGGGAATGGGGGGGGTGGGGGGAATGGGGGGTGGTGGAATGGGGGGGGGGGGGTGGTGGAATGGGGGGAATGGGGGGGGATGGGGGGAATGGGGGGTGGGGGAGGAGTGGGGGGGGGAATGGAGGGGAGTGGGGGTGGGGGGAATGGGGGGTGGGGGGGGGATTGGGGGGTGGGGGGGGAATGGGGGTGGGGGGGGAATGGGGGGGGGAGTGGGGGGTGGGGGGGAGTGGGGGTGGGGAATGGGGGGTGGGAGAATGGGAGGTGGGGGGGGGGAATGGGGGGGGGAATGGGGGGGGGGAATGGGGGGGGGAATGGGGGGGGGGAATGGGGGGTGGGGGGGGGAATGGGGGGTGGGGGGGGGGAATGGGGGGTGGGGGATGGGGGGGGGAATGGGGGGTGGGGGGGGGGAATGGGGGGTGGGGGGGGAATGGGGGGTGGGTGGAGCCTGTACCGGAAGACGTCTTCCGCGCGTTTCATTTTGACGTCTACCGAATTCTGAAACCGGCCACGGAGCGAAAGACAAGAGGGGGGCGCGCATCACATCGCTGCTTGTTGTCGTCGTTGGGGGGGGGGTTTTCTCGGCCTTTTGTTTAACTTGAAAGGGCTTCAGACGCTTGCTCCGTTTTAACGGGGGACGATTTGGCTGACTCAAAGTCGAACCTCGTTGGATAATCGCCGTGTCAAGACAACGCGAGATGTCAGACGGTACAGCAGCAGTGTCATGGGCGTTCTGTCATTAAATACAGCGGCATCGCTTCCTGATGGTGCCATTTAAATGTATGCTGTAGTTCTATTTACTATTGTATTGTTATCATCGCCCCCAACCCGCCCCCTTACATTTGCATGTGCGTGCGTGTGGTGTCCATTTGCCTTATTCTTTGCAGTGCAGCGTGAGTATGAATGTGTCGCTGTACTGCACTTGGATTAATTCGTTGTTTAGATGATACGGTACTTACCCCTCCGCTCGCCGTCATAGCAAGGTGGAATTGCCACCTCCGGCTCGGGCAGATGAACGTGATTCGGTCGGTGTCAACGCTTCTGTTCTGTGTCATACTTTGATGTGTTCAACTGCGACCACTGAAATCTAAAGCCAAACAAAATGCACGTCCCATGGCAGCAATTGGCAAACGTCTGAGGGAGATGAACTCAACTGCTGCGTGGGCGGATGGAGACTCGTCACGAAGTGACCTCGGTGTCAAAGCAGATATGGCAGGGTCGTTGTAAAATATCGCGTGGGAGAGAGGACCCGGAGAAGATCGATGAAATTTCACAAGTTCATTATGGGGGGAATGGAATTAAATAACGCTTTCATCAAGCAGAAGGCATGGGAGTTGAACGTTGTGGAGAGCCCATGTGGAAGTGACTTGATCTCTCAGGGACAGGACCTCGGATTTGTCACAGATGTCTGTCGTCACCTGGTGGTTTTCTTACTCTTGACCCTGGCATCATAATAATGTGCAATTTACACCTCTGGCTTTGGCCCGCAGATAGAGATCACTGGCGCCCCTTTTTGATTATAAATTGTGAATCTTGTAATGCATATGTACTGACAAATCTGTTATTTTGTGTTTTTCTATTGCAGAAAAAAAATCACCCACGCACCCTTCTGCACGCAAGTCAGACAGGGCTCATCACCAGCAGGTTTTTTTTATTTACATTGCCCTGCATGCAACTGCCGGTTTCAACATCATCACCAAACACAACATGACACCCCTGCACAAACACGTGGCTCTCATAGACAGAGGAATGAATTTGTGTTGGCATTGCAAGCCCAGATTTGAGCAATTAAATGTTCCACAGAAGAAGAGTGTTGTCACTATTGCCGGCAATGGCCATCGGCGATGAGTTCCCTGATATTCTTGGTTCTTTCGGTATAGTCACGTAGAAGGGAAATAATAAAATAATAAAAATATGAAACAATACAAATTCTCACGACGTTTCGACTCCAACACAAGCAATCATCATCAGGTGTGAAATCCACAGCAAGAAAATTTGAAAAAAAACACCAGCATGCTTTTTTCAAAAATAAAAAAAAAAACACCGGCACGCTTTTTTCTAATTTTATTGCTGTGGATTTCACACCTGATGATGATTGCTTGTGTTGCAGTCGAAACGTCGTGAGAATTTTTATTGTTTTATATTTTTATTATTTTATTATTTCCCTTCTACGTGATTTTACCAAAAGAACAAAGAATATGAATCCCTGCAGTCACGAAGGCTTTAAATCCGAGTTCCCTGATGTTGCCGCGGTTGTAATCGCAGCCTTCAGCTTCTGCAGTATGGACGTATGGTGACTTGAGGTGTCACGTGACTCATTGTCCGTATTGTTTCAGGATGTCGACTGGGACAGCGAGGAAGACGAAGGGGCGTCTGGATTCTCGGAAAGTACGACAACAATGGCAGCTGCTCATCATCTGTAATCATCGTCGTTGTCGATGTCATCATCACCATCGTCATCTACATGCTTTCTGCTTTTCCAGTGACCCGGGTTTCCCTTTCAGTTGGTGGCATAACTTGGTTTGGGTCTCCCTGGGTCAATTTAGCCTAAAATGAGAATAGTACATTAGTGCTGAAAAGACCTAAGCAGCCGAGATTACGCGATACAGGTCAGATTACCCTCTCCGTGTGCTGTCATACTTTCAATATGCGCTATTATGTCACTCTATGAAATGATATTTCTCCGACAGAAGCAATTGCCAAGCAACTACAGCAATTACCCCAAATGTAATAACATTGACTGATTGTTTTAGTTGGCACGGTGGCTTAGGAGGGTGGCAGCATGTCAAAGCACAGAGACATTAAAATGTCCTTTGTGTGAAAGATATAAGTGTAAGCTTTCAAAGCGATCGTTTTTTGCTAATATTTAGCATTTATTTATTTGGGAAAAGCTTTTTGAAATTAATCCTTGCTCATTTAAATAGAAATCTTCAGCCATTTGTCAGTCCACTGCAGGATGAAGGGATCCCCGCACCACATCGGTTCTGGCGGTAGGTGGGGGGTTTGCATACTTCATTCCGATGATCAGTGCGGATTGGTGAAGGAATGGCTGAGGATCGGTTCAGATATTACCTGCCACTCATGTAAGCCACCATGGCTGGGAATTCAATTCAGGTTTCTTGGGTTCATAGCAGTGTGAGATAGCCACTGTGCTATTACACTTCCTCCCTCAGCTGATTAAACCTCCACTTATTTTTTTTACAGCTGTGCTGTTTATTTTCTGCACGGAAATATTTAAAACTGTCAATTTTCACCACAGGTCTCCCTTAAGCCCTGTTACCATGGGCTCTCGCCTCACTATAGTTCATATGGAGTATATATACTGCATATATATAGAGTCCAATATAATACAATGACCTATGATACAATCACCCAGAATGTGCCCTATCTTGTTAGACCTGTCACATCAGTTTGTTGTCGACTGTTGCGAGGCTACGTGGTGTGGAGCAGAGGGCAGTGCTGCAAAATCCGATGTTCTGTATTTTTTAACCTAAATCTTCGCTTCCCGCCTTCACCAACCCGCACCGACCAACGTGGTATAGTGCGGTCAAGTTAAATAACTCCCGTGTCAAACGTGGCGTGGGAGAGGCCCTCATGCAGCAGTGGATCGACCAAGGGCTGTGAATTGTTATCGTTGCAGTGGACGCGCTGCGGGAGATGCTGGCGCGCAAGCTGGAGTTGGGCTCGGCGAGTGGGCACGAGCGCGTGCTGGAGGAGCTGACGCTCGGGGGAGTGGCCAAGCACATCCTTGCCGGGAAATGTGAGACACAAGCTGACACCGCCACAGGCAGTGGCAGTGGCACAGCACGGGCAGTAGCGCCGACACAGCCGGGCGGTGGCACTGGCACGGCACAGGTCGTGGCACCGGCACAACACAGGCAGTGGCACTGGCACGGCACAGGTCGTGGCACCGGCACAACACAGGCAGTGCACAGCATGGCCAGTGGCACCACCATTATTTTTATAGTGCGGCACAGTGGTTAGCACATTGCCCTTTGCAGTCACGCACCCAGCTGTACGCTTCAGAAGGAGAAACA